AATTCTGGGAGTTGAAGTCCACTCATCTTAAAGTGGCCAAGTTTGGACAACACTGCCTTAGGCGACTGAGTATGTGCCATCAAGCCGTTGTCTTAGATAGCTTCACTCAAAGTATGAAGGAATTAAATATCGAGGGTGGCAGTTGGCCTAACTCGTTATGAAAATTGATCTTTAATCTAAACAGATTGGTTGCCAGCATCTCTGAAGGAGAATTAGCCAGTGCTATCAATTATATGCTCATTCCCCCAAACTTTTTGTTGTTTTGTAATTCAATCACTTCCGACTCTTTCTGAGCTGACGGACATAATTTCATCACGATTGTCCATCAGGAACCGATCCTTTGAGTTCTTATAACCACATGCTTGTGTCATCAAGTGATTGTATCTTGCTGTCTTATCTTGGGCTAACCTTCTTTTTCAATTGTCTTCAATTTTTCCAAGCATCAGGATTATTTATTTATTTTCGTAAATTTACATTTATGTGTCCAAAATATCTAAGCTTTAGTTTCATTGTTAGTGCTTTCAATAAACAGTCTGGCTTTACTTCATCTATTATTTGTTCTTCTTGCTGTCCAGAGTACTTTGCAACAATTTTCTCTGACACCGCAATTCAAAAGCATAAAGTTTCTGTCCTTCAGTCTTTCTGATGGTCTAGCTTTCAGAATCACTACTGGGAAAACCATGGCCTTGACAAAAAGAATGCCTTTCTTCTCAGTGTGATATTTTTGCCCTTTAATATTTTGTCTAGATTTACTACAGTCTTTCCTCCAAGTAGTAGGTATCTCTTTATTTCATGACTAGTCACCATTCTGGTGAAGTTTTGAACTTGGGAAGATAAAGTCTGTTACTGTTCTGTAGACATTTGGGTTTGTTGCAGGGTCAGTCTCAGTCTTGTCCAGTAAAACTTGTTCTTCTTCCATAACATATTTTAAACATAGTCTATCTATAATGGCAGACACTCTTTAAATACAAGTCCTTAAACTTGTATTTAAAGCTTTCACTAAGGATTGAAGGAAACTCACCTGCTTTAAAACTTGTCCATCCAAAGGTTCCTAATAGCTGAAAAGCAGCTTAAAGCAATTTCTGAAAGTGATTAGAAAAAGAAGTATGGGAACCCAGTGTCCTTTTGAAGGCGCCACCCGCAGTTTGAGCAAAAAGTTGGCTAATCCCTCATCTCCCAGAGCTCTAAACCTGCCAGAGACTGCTGTCTTGCAGTCTCCTCACAAGAAGCAACTGTCTGGAGCGCTTGTGGGTGATCTCGTCCTCTCCTTGTCCAGAGAGGAATTATGAAGAGCCAATCTACTCGTTGGCTCTTAATTCTGCCACAGTCATTGGCTCTGCTTTGAATGTTTTCAATGTTTTGATAAATGACTTAGAGGAAATGCTTATAAAATCTGTAGATAACACAAAACTAGAAAACAGAAATTACATTCAAAATGGTCTTGAAAGTTTAGACAAATGATTGAAACAGAATTTAACAGAGAAAAATATACTGAATTTCAGCAGAAATCAAATGCAGAGGCACAGATTATCTGCTGCAGGAGAACAACAGTGGGAGAGAGGTATATTCTCTTTTTTCAGAACCTCCATCCAATGGGCTTTTGTTTCCATCCAGCAGAACTATTATATTCAGACAGAAAAAAGTCCTGAAACTAGAAAAGATTGGGTGAAAGGATACAAAACCTGCAGTGAACTGTGGCTGTGTCACCAATGTGAAAGATTCCTCCAATTCTGGGATCTCCTGGTACCTATCTCCTACCCAATCTCCTACCCAAATTCAACTCTTCTAAACTTTTTTCTGAACCTTTTTTCTGAAACCAGTCAAAGTCCACTAGATGTTGTCATCTGATCTGGACACACACGCCTAACATTATGTTTTTCCCAAAATATATTAGTTAAAGTTCCCAATCTGGTAATGGGCCATCGTTTACAAATGACAGAATTGTTATTTGGTGGTATAACTGAGGGTGTCAGATACACTGTATGTGCCTCTCTATTGGTGGGATGCTGTTTGCTTTTGAATGAATGAAAACTTAGCTCCCAAACCTTTCTCTGTTTTACTAAACAGCATTATGTGAAAGAACTGTTAGCTTTTACAGAGACATTCACGCATTATAACCAGGTTTATACCAAAGGCAAATTCTTACTTGGAATTGTTAGGAAGAATATGGACCAATAGTATGATAGGACTGCAAAAAAGAAGAGTGAAATTTTAGGCGGCATCATCATCATCAAAAGAAGTGCCATTTCCAAATCATGAGAAATCATTCTTCTACTTCGTTCTTATTTAGTCAGACTCCGTTGTGTGCTGGTAAATGTTTAACAACTGGTCAGGCACCACCTTGAGTTGTATGTTCGTTCTGGCCATTACATATCTAAGAGGCTTCAGAACAGATTCAGAGAAGGGCAATCAAGATCACTAGGGACAAGAAACTTAAGTCCTTTGAAGAGAGATTGGAGGAGCTGGTGATGTTTAGCCTCGAGAAATGATGAACCTCTGGAAACACAACAGCGCCCACGAGGCGGATCTCAGCAGCCACCAAACTCCCGGCAACTTGCAGCTTCTGAATGGAATGGAGTATGCGCCGGAGGGAATGGGCTGCAGTTGCTACCTGGAGAGAAGACGCGGTGAGTTGGAGCAGGGGATCTTTTTCCGGAGAGCACAAGGAAGTCAAGGGTGGCCTGCACTGTCTGGTCTCTCTAGGAAGAAGCGCTCGCTCTCTGTCAGGCTCATTCCGATCCTCCAGGAGGCTGAAAGGCAGTGGCGAGGTTTGGCGGAGTCGGAGTTGTGGCTGCTGTTCTCACGAGCAGAATTAGCGAGGAAGCGAATCCCCTAAAGGGTTTTCCCGGGAAATCTGGGAAGAGACCGGTGAGTGGGGAAAGGGAAGTCCCCTTTGGCAGGAGTAGGAACATAGGAGGGAGGGGAAGCTCCGGGTAAGCAGGGAAGGCGCCGCATGGCCATTCAGCCCCGCTCTGCACTTGCCTCCAGACGAGCCCCGGCTGGCTCTCGCGGCCTGCGGCGATCCGGGAGCTTGGAAAGCGTCTTCCCCGCCCGCTTGCCCAGGAGGGAGCCTTGGCCGGCGGCCCCCAGACACTCCTCAAGGGCTCTCGCTTCCATTCGCGGGGTTTCCAGCCTGCGCTTCTCCACTCTAGGGAGCAGGTCTCAAGGGGCTTTGAAGGGACTTGGAAATCTGAGTCCGCAGGTTGACTTTGTACTGGTCGGTAGTTCAGGAGAGAGCGTGTGCTAAGGACCTTGATTCAGTGGGTTAGGGTGAGAGTCCTCTTCCCAAACCTTTCAGAGAAAAAGAGACCCTGCAGGGCAGTGACATCCCTCTGAATGAAACAGATAAATAACAGGAGAGAGAGGAGTGCTGGAGCTGCATGTCCTCGGAAAGGGCTGCTGGTTGCAATCCCTTTTCCCACGCATTCGTTGTGGAAAGATTTTTATTGCATGATCCATTGGAGAAAAAGTTTCCAAACAGGAGCTTTGCATCTGAGCCTCAGATTCCAATGTTCTGACAGTCTGTTTTTTTTCCCCCCAACTCAGATTCAGAGCTGGAAACTTCTTTGTTTCTGAAATGTCTGCATGTCTAGAAATGAAAATAACTCAGAATTTGAAAGTAACTCATTATACTTGTGAAGTTTGTCCAAAGCCTCTTGATAAAGCTCATATTCTACAAATGAAGTAGCTTCTGGAGCTATTATTTGGAAATTCACCGGACCACAAAGGGAAAATGGAAGTGGAAAAGTCAACAGCAGTGGAAGCTGCAGATGGCCGTCCTGCCAGTCAGGCTGAGAGCAGAGCGTTCTGGGAAAGAGCCAGCCAGAAGATCCTCCAGGAAGAAACCCTCAGCTCAGATATTCAATGCTGGCACTTCAGAAATTTTAGCTACCAGGAATCCAAAGGGCCCAGAGAGGTTTGCAACCAACTCCATCAGCTTTGCCATCTATGGCTGAAGCCAAAAAGGAACACAAAAGCTGAGATGCTGGACCTGGTGACCCTGGAGCAGTTCCTCACCATCCTGCCCCCAGAGATGGAGACCTGGGTGAGAGAATGTGGAGCAGAGACCTGTTCCCAGGCGGTGGCCCTGGCCGAAGGCTTCCTCCTGAGCCAAGCAGAGGACAAAGAGCTGGGAAAGAAGCAGGTGAGAAAATTTCATTCAGGGATGGATAGTGTGATAAGGAATATCCTTGATTTCTTAAATGACTTATCAGTCTTTGGTGGAACTTAAAATGCTAGGAGGAGATTTCACTCCTCTATAGGCCCTTCCAGATAATTCCACAGGAAGCAGAGGAAACAAAATCTTCACCCCTGCCCCCCATGGATGAACATAAGGGTTGGAACCAGAAAACAAGACTCCTTTCTTTCTGTCTGCCCTTGTTTTAATTCTGCTTCTTCTGTACTCCTGGTTGGTGTTTCAGGTGCAGGAGCGTCTCACAGGGGTGGTCACAGAACATCTCAAGGGAAGGGGAGATCTGTCTGATCCCTCTCAGGAACAGCTCTTGAAGATCTCCCAGACTCAGGTTGTCTCATCACGTAAGTGAAGGTATCTTCTGATAACATGGAGCCTGAGCTTCTGTCATTAATATGCTTCTTTTACAACCAAATCCTGGGTCTGGGCAAGAAGGACTTTTGTGTATTATTCCTTCCCAAATCTTATTCACAAGGCTTTAAAATAGTCTGTTTCTACACCTTTCTCTTGCTTATAGGGAACAGAATGGTGTCAGTGGAAATAACTGAAATGTCTTCTCTTTGTGGTGGAGCAGAAACTGCAACTGTGTGTCCAGCTCAGGTAGGGGAGAAGCATCAGATCAGGGGGCTATTTGGAAGCCCCACTTTTTTCTTTTTATAATGCTCAGTTGACAGCCTGTTCCACAGCATGAGAGTGTTGAAATCCAGATTCAGCTACTTGTTATTGCAGTCACTCAGCCTGGTTTGCCTTTCAAAATTGTGGAAATATTGAAAGAGAAGAATCCTATAGAACAATCTGAAAGGGTGGTATAGGAAATGGAATTTATTTATGGAAAGAAGGGAATACTTTCTTTTCTTGTGTGTGTGGTAGGAAAGCTATCCATTGCTCCAATCTGGGTGTTAGAAGTCCATGTTTTGTGCACTTAAAGCACTGCTGTTGACATTTGAGAAGCCTTTCCAGCCATGGTGACTGTTTGAAAAAGTAAATGCTTAACTCAGCACTCACACTGTAAGAAAATGCTCTTATTTTAGGATCTGTGCAATAAAGCAGAGAACTTAAAGTGCTTTCTGGGATTGTCTGGAACGTTTTCTTCCTCTTTCAGGGCTCCATGTCCTTTGAGGAGGTGGCCATGGATTTCACGGAGGAGGAATGGGCGCTGCTGGATCCCAGCCAGAGAGCCTTATATAGGGAAGTCATGCTGGAGGTTTCTAGGACTATAGCCATTCAGGGTAAGGTCCTCTCTTTGCTCTGGGGTCTGTTAATTTTGAGAAGAGTTTGGTAGTCAGAAATTCTCAAGGAACATCTCCTGGCTACAATAAGGAGATGTTCTGATTGTCTGTTTGGATAAATGCCCATCCAATGCTTTTTAGTCCCTTATAAACTCCTGTATAGTTGATAACAAGCTACTTTCTTTCCTTCAACTTGGTGTTACAACCCAGGATAGTTCTATGGGCTACTGGTTAAAAAGAAAAGTTAGTGTTTGCCCCAGCAACTTCTTCATTGTTTTTATGCTGACCCTTGCTTTCCCAGTGGCTTTAATCCCTCTTTAATGTAATAATTCTTCTTTAAATCTGGATGAACTCAAAAAGCTGAATACAATGAGATTCAGTTAGCACTTGAATGATAGGAGAAATCTCAGGGCTGCTGTCTAAGACTGGAAAATCAGAAAAAGTCTAGAAGGGAGGCAGTGTTAAACCTCTGTCCATGAAGTCACCAGGAAATGTTTCCTAAACCTTGCCTTCTAACTGGCGATGAGAGAAAGAGGAAGAATCAGGCTGAGGGGCTGCAGTCAGATCAGTTTTATAAAAGTGTACAAAGACTAAATTGGGGTAATTTTGGAGATGCTAAAATAAAAATTGCAGCTAATTAGTCATGATACTGTTTCTGCTAAACATTCACTGTTCTTGTTTCTCCAAGCAGGTTACAGGCAGAAGAATGAGAATTACAAGGAGCCAAAGGTCATGCCATTGCAAACAACCAAGTATGACATGGAAGAAATGAAGCTTGGAAATCAGAGGGAACCAAAATGGCCCAAAAGAACTTACCTGGGGAATGGAGGAGGAATGTCCTCTTCTCTATGTATTGAAATCCATGACTTCCAAACTGAACATGATGAGAAAGGAAAAGGAAAGGGAAACTATCTCAGATGTAGCAAAACCGACAAAGAGAAATCCAGTGTAAATAAACATAGCAGAAGCTATACTAAAGAGAAACAGTATGAATGCATAGAGCATGAGAAAAGTATGACTGATAATTTCCATCTTTCTTTACCTCAAAAACTATGCATGAAAGACAAATTCTACACATATATAAAACGTGGGAAGAATTTCAGTTTGAGCGCTCACCTTACTTCCTATGAAGGGACTCAAACGGAGAAACCATATAAATGCGCTGAGTGTGGAAAGGGTTTCAGTAAAAAACTGTTGCTTATTTTACATCAAAAAATTCACACAAAGGAGAAACCATATAAATGCGC